CATAGGTGAATTAAACAGAGGTCACAGCAACAGCAAAATGAAAAATGTTGTCATTCAGCCACAGCGTTTTTATGTTCGCTCGCTTAGTGCAAGTTCAGATTTGCATGAACAATCAGAACAACTCCATCAGCCATCAAGCTAGGGTATATATATATATATATATATATATATATATAGTCAAACTCCAGCATCATGTCACTTCTTTTCAGTGAATAAAGGGAAGGCATATCAGCTAGGATTACCTGAGGTTTCCGTCACGTCTTTAGATCTCTTTTCATTTATCACGTCAGTGTCTACGTGACCCATGTCTACTCAAACAAAGCTTGTCCGTTTCAGTGGGTAACTAAACTTTCACTCACATGTATCTGTATGTCACTGTAAACTGCTTTTCTGGATGCAGATGTTGGGTCGCTCCTCGCCCTTTGGACATTTAGGTATGGCAAGAAGCATAAATTAGAGACTTAATTTATTCTCTGATATCCAAAGCAGTTTAGATAAGATAAGATAAGATAAGATAAGATAAGATAAGATAAGATAAGATAAGATAAGATAAGATAAGATAAGATAAGATAAGATAAGATAAGATAAGATAAGATAAGATAAGATAAGATAAGATAAGATAAGATAAGATAAGATAAGATAAGATAAGATAAGATAGATAGTGACTTTATTAATCCCTCGGGTGGGTTCCTCTGGGAAATTCGACTTCCAAAAAAAGCACAGCAACGACCGAAGTTACAGTTACAGAATTGTTATATATATATATATATATATATATATACACACACACACATATATATAATCACAAATACAAGACATACACACACACTATATAAATACAGAGACAAATATAAATAAAATATACAAAGGGGATAAATAGAATAAATAGGAATAAAAAATAAAAATACAAGTGAATTGCACATTTCAAGTATTGAGTCTATTGCACTGTTGACTATTTACAAAAAGTATTGCACAAGGTATTGTACAGTGAGGTGAAGAGGCACTACAGCTTAGTTGTTCCCCCCTCCTTTGTCCTCCTGTCTCCCCTCCCTCTCCCCTCCAGAGAGGAGTTAAACAGTCTGATGGCGTGTGGGACAAAGGAGTTTTTAAGTCTGTTAGTTCTTGTCTTGGGGAGAAGCAACCTGTCACTGAACAGACTCTTCTGATTGTTTATGGCCGTGTGCAGAGGATGCCCAGCATTGTTCATAATGTCCAGCAGTTTCTTTAATGTCCTTTTCTCTGCCACTGTCACCAGAGTGTCCAGCTTCATGCCGACCACAGAGCTAGCCTTCCTGATCAGTTTCTCCAGCCTGGATGAGTCCCTTCTTTGCTGTGCTGCTCCCCCAGCACACCACAGCATAGAAAAGTACTCCAGCAACCACCGACTGGTAAAACATCCTCAGGAGCTTCCTGCAGATGTTAAAAGACCTCAGCCTCCTGAGGAAGTACAGTCGGCTTTGGGCTTTTTTATACAGGTGCTCTGTGTTGCATGACCAGTCCAGTTTATTGTCCACCCACAGCCCGAGGTACTTGTACTTGTTGACCACCTCCACCTCCTCCCCCTCTATCTGAACCGGCAGTGGACCTTCTCTGGACCTCCCGAAGTCCACAACCAGTTCCTTAGTCTTTGAGGTGTTGAGTTGCAGGTGGTTTGTGTGACTCCATGCGACAAAGTTCCTCACCAGACTTCTGTACTCCTCTTCCTGATCATCCCAGATACACCCCATGATGGCTGTGTCGATCTGCAAACTTCTGAATGTGGCATAATTCAGAGTTGTAGCAGAAGTCAGAGGTGTACAGGGTGAAGAGAAGAGGGGACAGCACAGTTCCCTGTGGTGCTCCTGTGCTGCTGACCACAGTGTCAGACGTGATGTCCTTCAGCCTGACGTACTGTGGTCTGTCGGTGAGGTAGTCGGAGATCCAAGCCACCAGGCAGGGGTCCACCTCCATCCTGTTCAGTTTTTCCTGAAGCATACAGGGCCGGATGGTATTAAAGGCACTGGAAAAGTCAAGAAACAGGATCCTGACCGTGCCTTTTCCCCCATCCAGGTGTGAGTGGGCTCTGTGTAGGAGGTACAGGATGGCATCCTCCACTCCGACACCCGCCTTGTATGCAAACTGTAGTGGGTCCTGGGCATGTTGTACCTGTGGTCGGAGGAGGTTGAGGAAGAGCCGCTCTAGAGTCTTCATAAGATGTGACGTCAGTGCCACCGGTCGGAAGTCATTCAGCTCATTGGGCCGGTTCTTTTTGGGGACCGGGACGATGCAGGATGTCTTCCATAGGGCGGGCACTCTCCCCAGTCGCAGACTGAGGTTGAAGACTCGTTGTAGCGGCTCCCCAAGTTCAGCAGCACACGCCTTTAGCATCCTAGGACACACCTTGTCTGGGCCTGCTGCCTTTCTGGGGCGAAGCTTCCTCAGTTGCCTCCTGACCTGATCCACTGTGACACTGGGAGATGTTTGGGAGGAGGGGAGGGGGGGGAGAGATGTCTTGCTGCTGAGAGAGTTTACTTTGCTTTAACACCATTTAATTATTCTTGGCCTTTCCGCATTTCTATTACAGCCGTAATGAAAGGTGTTTCGCAGCGATATGATGAAACAACACACCATCAGTCATAACATGGCACACTGTGAAACATGGTCAACACCCAAAATATCTGTGCAGGTGGAGTGTTGAGCATGAAATCCCTTTTATCAAGAACACGGGCGTTTCAGTCTCCTTTCATGATGTTAAACCAAGGTTCTCTACAGAAATGTCTCTGCCCTTTCCTGACTATAGCAGTAGCAGAGCACACGTACTTCTGTCTCATGGTCTGTTGAAGATGTTGAGGCAGTTGTATCTATGAGAATATTAGACTACGCTGCATCCTGACACGCATGACACTAAAAGCGTACCCAGTGCAGGAGTCCTGACCACAGATCAGTATGTGACAAAAGCAAGAACAGGTTGCAAGAAAAGTGTTTTGGTGTGCAACCTGTGAAATATCTGTGGCTCACTGAGAAGCCCAGTGTTCTTCATCACAGATTTAAATGCTTTAAACATTAAACCAGTCACACTGTCAGTGCCTACGCATTTGGAGGTTTAAGGATTGTTAAGATGACAAGAAGTGAGTTCCAACGGATTAAAAGTGTGCAGATTATTATTATTTTTTTCATCTTGTCTTGTCTTTTTAATTTCTTCAGAAAGTTACAGGGAGGGATTACTTCCAGACACAGGAAATGCTCCTCATAAACTCAAGGAAACAGAGTAAAACACTGGTAATATAGTTTGTGTTAGAGTCCCCTCAGTTAATGAGAAAAGAAAAAAGTTACATTTGATCAAAGTAGCTCTGCAGCGTATTATTGGAGTTAATAATGTGACACAAAACCACAGATTCAGAACCCTCACAATATCATGCAAATTAAACTACTTCTATGCTCGAGGTTGTTTTACACTGACTGGACACCATGCAAGTTTCCTGTAGCCCTAGTTTCCTGTTCCTAGCTGACAGGACTGGTACCTGGTATGGTCCCCTACTGCTATACCCCATAAGCCCCAAGGTCTAATATACTGTGCATTTAGACATGCTCTTCTGCTTACCTTGATTGTGATAAGAGTGACAAATGTAGAGTCTTGCCTGTGGCAATCAATAAGGCATTTTCACCCAGACAACTGCTGCTCACTGAATATTCTTTTTTTTTTTTTGAGGGGGAAACCTTAGAGATGGTTATGTGGGAAGACCAATGTGGATCAGCAGTTTCTGAGAAACTCAAACTACCAGCAACCATGCCATGTTCAGAGTCACTTACATCATCTTTCTTCCCTCTTCTGGTGCTCGGTTTGAACTATAGCCGGCCATCTTGACCATTGTTTGTATGTTGGCTGCTTTTTCTTCTATTCTTGTGATTCCACACTGGTTTAATCTATGAACAGCAGTGTTGCATGTTTTTCTGTCCATGTATATTATTCTACATAAGGTGTGTGTTTGGGACCATAAAGACATAAAGTGTCTACCAATCACATGTTTCCAAGTGACATTGTATGGTGGATCAAAATCTGATGGTACTTTTCTGATATCATAATTCCATCAGTTTTGATAAGATCCCCAAAACCACTGGGTAAACTGCAGCCCGAAACTATGGCTGAGCCTCCATGTTTTACGGATCATCATCGTTTATTTATATAGCACTTTAAAAACACACCTGGTACACCAAAGTGCTGTACAATACAAATGTAAATATAGGAATAAAATAGCAAAAACCAGACATAGCAATAAAAATGTCAGTTACCCACAGAGTTAAAAGCCAGCGAGTAAAAATAGGTTTTTAATCAGGACTTAAAAACTGGCACTGATGTACGGATGGCTGTAAACACTCACCGTTGTACCTCTTTTGACCTCCATTGTAAATTTCAATGACAATTTGAAGCAAAAAGTTCACATCTGAATTCAACTCTCAATGAAACCAGTACTCTCAAATCGTGTGTCAGGATTGGATTTTTTCTTGTTTGTGGAGGACTGGCCAATCAGATACTGTTTATCTGTTTTGTTCTTCATTTGAGGTCTGCCACTTAACCTGTGTAGTTTAGACCTTTTTATTTAATTATTTTTGTTTTCAAGGAGAACTGTTCCTCCCTTCATCGCCCCGGTGCATTTTCTATGCGTTAGTGATTCATAAGTCAGTGTTAAGTTTCATAACAAACAAATATTAAAAATCCTCTCAAATGGTCAGCACTACAAATAAATGAAAAAGTCAGTGTTGAAAGAAAATCTATTTTTTGTTGTTGTTGTTGTTGTTGTTTGCTTTTTCGGGGGGGTGCTCAAGACGACTTTTTGAAATTACTTTATGGGAAGCAAAATATAAAGAATTGAGGGGTGGTCTGAGACTTTTGCACAGAACTGTATATGTCTAAACGACAGGTGAGATGCTACTGTGTGATTGGCTGATTAGATATCCGCTTCGAAGAGGAGGTGACGAAGTGTCCCTAACAAAGTGGAATCATAAGTCTGTGATTAACGCGCTTATACGACTTCGGAACTTCTAGGTAGTATTATTTCAGGCTAATATTTCTTAGCTGCTGGCATAATAATAAACGTTACACGGGTACACGTGGTTTCACCGCCTTTAAATTCGCCTTTGATGCTAATCAGAAACATAAAGGTAATGCTGTGTCCTTGATCCTTGTCCTTCAGCTCCTCAACAAACGTCCCGAACGATCACGTCAAACACAGCGCCGTGTACAGTCAGCCCGCTCTGTGCATATTTTATGCGTACACTGTCTCCACGTCTCCAAAAGCTCCTGTTCACAGGTGACACTGTACAAACAAGATTATGGATGTGCCACTGTCCTGTCAAAATACATTAAGACTCAGCGCTGACGGACATTCTGGGAGACTTTGATGTGGCTGCGGCTGTAAGAGCGCGGATTCGCTCTGGTCCTATCATCCTCTTGGTGAGGTGAAGAGCGTCAACGGCGGGGCAGAGCTTTGCGCGTTCACGCGAAACCTATAAACGGACGTGGCGCGCGGAGAGCTGTGAGTAGTGTGTGGAGAAATGAGGAGAGAATAACGGCGGCAGAGGATGGCATCTACAGCGCCATGGGAGATAATCTGATGACACATGCAACAGAAATGCTGCAAATGCCATCTGCACAAACTTTTTTCTCTGTGTTCTGAAGACACGGCAGCTCTTCAACTTTGCCCTACGAGGTGATATGTGAGAAGGAGAGGCCAACCATGCAGCTGAATGAGTCTGGAGTTCAAACGGTGGCACCCGAGCCATGTCAGCAACAAATACTACAGGACGACTACAATGGGAACTGCAGCGAAGGTTCCACCACTAACATGTCACTGCACTGCTGGCTGCAGCTCCTCACCAAGGAATCTATCATGGAAATTCAAGGAGACAGCTCCAGCGTAGTGGTACGTGTGATGATAGCGTGTGTCTACTCTATCGTCTGCGCTCTGGGGCTGGTGGGGAATTCACTGGCTCTGTATCTGTTGCACTCCCGTTACAGGCAGAAGCAGTCGTCCATCAACTGCTTTGTGATGGGGCTGGCTATCACAGATCTACAGTTTGTTTTGACCTTGCCTTTCTGGGCAGTGGACACAGCCCTGGACTTCCGCTGGCCGTTTGGTCGTGTGATGTGCAAACTCATCAGCTCTGTCACCACCATGAACATGTATGCCAGTGTATTCTTCCTCACAGCTATGAGCGTGGCACGTTATTACTCCATCTCCTCCGCACTGAAGATACACAGCCGACGGACAGCAGCTGCCAGAGCCAGGTGGACCAGCCTGTGCATCTGGGCTGTTTCTTTGCTGGCCACTTTGCCTCATGCCATCTACTCCACCAGTGCCCAAGTATCTGATGAGGAGCTTTGCCTGGTGCGCTTCCCAGACTCTGGCAGTTGGGATCCACAGCTCCTTCTGGGTCTATATCAGCTTCAAAAGGTCCTAGTAGGTTTCCTTATTCCTCTAGTTATAATCACCGTCTGCTATCTGCTGCTGCTTCGCTTCATCCTAAGCCGGCGCATTGCAGGTGCAGCGGGCCCAGAGGCAAACCAAAGCCGGCAAAAGCGTCATTCCAAAGTGACTAAATCCATTGTCATCGTAGTTCTCTCCTTCTTTCTCTGCTGGCTTCCTAATCAGGCACTGACACTGTGGGGTGTGCTCATAAAGTTTGACCTTGTGCCCTTCAGCAAAGCTTTCTACAATGCACAGGCCTATGCTTTCCCTCTGACTGTTTGCTTGGCGCACACCAACAGCTGCCTCAACCCTGTGCTCTACTGCCTGATCCGCCGGGAGTTTCGGGCAGGCCTCAAGGAACTTCTCCTGCACGCCACGCCATCTTTCAGGAGCCTGACTCATCTGCTGCGTCGCAAGGCCAAAGTGGCTGAGGCACCACCTGTTTTGGTGCTGGTCCAAATGGATGTCTGACTGGGATGATTGGGGAACTCGAAACATTCCACCTGCGGTACTATTGATCTGTTTACCAAGAGGGCATATGTCTCACCTACTCTGTCGATGCAGAAAATTGCATTTCTTTTAAAAAACAAACAAAAAAAATGCAGAATTATAATGTACTGCACGGTAGGATGTGCCTCACTTCTACTGTGTTTCTCAAGATTTCCTCTGCATCACATATTTCTGTTGTTACAGTTGTTCACTGTTTCAGTCTCCCCGCTTCTGTCGAGCAATACTGCTCTCATGTCATGGACATGTATAGCTGTTAATCCAAAGTGAGATTCAAATAGTTGCAGCACTCAGGCGTGATTTTTTTTTTTATGCATACCGGTAAATTACTGTGTTTGTGTTTGTTTACTGGTACAAGTGTGTAATTCTTTCATCAGTATAATCAATGGAACAAATGGAATCAAAATAATTAATTTTAAAAAAGCAGGACAGTGATGCTTAGAAGTGTTTGCTTTATTTAAAATATCATAAAAGAAAAGAGCAATTTAATCGCCTGTTGTTGTATCTGTGGAAAAACTAAAGAAATGAGCGGGGGGGGGTGGGGAGGATTTGTACATTTTATTTTTGTAGATGTATGGAGTAAAATAGTAGTGCTTGTTGCATTGTCCTGGAGAAATGACTCATCTCTTGTGAAAAAATAAAAAGCAAATAAAATGTACAAGAACTAAAATCAATTTCCTGAGCTTTTTGGGGTAAGGCAGCATGGCATCAAAGACTTCAGCGTAATGAGTGCATAGTTAGTAAACGTCTCCCTTGTGGAAAGCTTTGAGGATTAGGACTTGAAGTGATCCATTTAAGATTTTATACCCCTGTGCAGCAAATAGTATATGATTCATATTTGAACTGAGCACGTATACTGTGTTGTATGCACACAAGATGAAAAATTTACGATCATTATTTCTCTCTGTCTCACTCTCGCTGACCTTAGACAGCCATGCAAATATACTCAAATGCGTTCTTTTTCTTACTTTATATATGTCAGACTGAAAATTATAATGAATTATGTCGAATTTCCTCTAAACATCTGCATTATATGTCAGACATTTACTTTAAACCAAAGCATTTTTTCATTTAAAAAAAAAAAGGCATCTCATGGTTGGACAGACCACCAGTGCCACAAACAGCCTTTTTATCTCTGGTAAATTGAACAGATACATATGTTGACTGGAGCTTCTGTGGTCATAGCATCAGCTTTCATACAAGACAGCTGCTAATTTGATGTTTTTTCATTTAAATCATAATGACTGATAATCCTGTAAATAAAATAAAGACTAAATAAAAAACTCAGCTTGAACTATTTTGAATAATTGGGCCAGATCATATTAGAATTCAGAGCCCGTAGGAGGAGAGACAAAAAAGGAAAATAGTCAGAGGTGCTGAGAGCGTGCAAAATAAAGTGGTGCTAATGTTATGTAAACAATCCCACACCGGCAAGAGGGCATCAGACAACAGAGACTCCCTTCTCTGTTCTTTTATTGATGAGCTTTAACTTTCTCATTCTGTGCTTGTGCAGCTCTCCTTCAATCACTAACAACAGCAGCACTGCGCTGCACAAATAATGAACAAAGGTGTTGCTAACTAGACTGCATGTCAGATAGAGGGGGCAGATTTTCTTCGTCTCTTCTGTTGAGAATGGGATTCTCGCTCTTCAGCGCAACTTTTGTGTGAAATGAAGTGTAGCAAAGCCGTAGTCTAAACATAAATACTAAATAAAACACTTGTGTGGTTTGAAATGTCTTTTCAAATTGCTTTGTGGACCTAAGCTGATGCTTAGTGTCATTCTTAGATAGAAGTATATGAAAAATGCCAAACAAAAGCTTTAGGTAAACAATGGCCCCAGACAACCAGAGTTTGCTGCATTGCATTATAGTTTGATAAAGGCTTTAGCGATTCTGTTCTACATGATTGATTTTGCAGGGTGCCTATGCCATAAACAGATATGTGTTCAAATTATCATAAACAAAGTCATACACAGAATACTTTGACTCGAGTAAAATTCAGGTAAATAGAACCTTCGATTTTTGGGGCTTTTGTAAAAATATGCTTGTTTGCTATGAGTAACCTGCTATGTGCTGCACTTGAAGGAAAACTGTACGCACAAGCAGCAGGAACACTTGGGTCAATAGAGGCATACCCCAGTTTTGCCCCGTGCCTTCAGTGGGTCAGCCTGAACAAGCTGGGAGCAGAATCTGCAGCAAATAACAGAATCAGTGACTTTTGTAATCTTGCCTGGTTATAAATTCACTGAGGAAAGATCTCTGGGCCAATTTTGCCTTCAGAACACCCTAAAGCAGATTAACTGCATATCATGGGCCTTTATTTATATAGCAGAGAAGAACCAACGCACCAGATAAACTAACTTTTCACAGAGCTTTGTATGCAACATTGTTACATCTTGATTGTGCAAAGACATAACTGTATTAGGAAAGCGTGATAGCTCACTTAGCATGAGTGCATTTCAAAATCTCTATGGCTCTCACACCTTGGATTCATCACAGAAAGCCTGCATGATACAGATTTGTACCATCAGCATGTGAGTAAGGCCTGCTGGGCTATCCATAGAAAGGTTCAGAGTTAGACTCGGTTCAGAAAAAACTGACTTGTTTCACGTGAAGTTAAAACTATGATGGTGCTGATAAACAAGTTCCATGTAGATCTATCTATCTATCTATCTATCTATCTATCTATCTATCTATCTATCTATCTATCTATCTATCTATCTATCTATCTATCTATCTATCTATCT